CGATAAGGAGAAGATCGAATGCGTGGACGTTCCAGATCCGGAAAGACTTGCTGAAGTGGGGAGAGAGTTGTGAGAAATGAAGCACACGAAAGAACACAGATATGACTGATCCACAGAAGTTGCGAGTTGACGCACCCGAAGATAGGAACTAGAGGACTGGATGTTGTAGAGAATAGCCACAATACTCTGCTTGCAGAGGGGGCAACAGCGCGGCGTTCGTCGGGCCCAAGTGACGATGCAGAAATAGCAGAATGAATCTGAGAACACGGAGGGTTAAACAGATGAAGCCAAAAGACAGTCATGAATGAGACGGAAAAACACTTACGAAAGCAGGGATCGACAAAGGCCAAATTGTCAACCGGATGAAGACAAATGGGACATTCGGCAGGAAATGAAGGTGAGGCATTGGGGACTTCGATCATTGGAATTTCCGCTGTGTGAGCGGAGGAGTCGGACGAATCAAGGGAGGGCAGCAGGGAGGCATACTGTCGGGGAAGGGTGTGGAGCAAGGGAATCGGAGGAGAGGTGCTGGGATACAAGGGCCTCGACTCTGACGACGGAGATGCAGACGGAGATGGAGATATGGATGGAGATATGGATGGAGATGGAGATGGAGATATGGATGGAGATGGAGATGGAGATGGAGATGGAGATATGGATGGCGAGCCCGACATTATGACCACTGTTGGGAGCAAGATCGATTTTGGAAGTGCAGATGAGAGCGCTGAGACACAGGGACAAGTCTTTGGCAGGAGAAGCGGTCAGAGAAAGCAGGACAGGGATGACCGAAGAGCTCGGCACACGGCGAGGTGATTGCTACAGGATAGCCACCAGACCGATGATGTTTGGGTGAGATTGGGACTCAATCGACATGGTCGCGGTTGAATAAAGACGAGAGGATATGACCACAAGGATACAGATATGCAAGTGTAAAGGCCAAACCAGAGAGAATGGGTCGATGCGAGAGCGACTCCATGTCGGAGATGCCGGCTCGAATAAACTGGGCAAGGCCGGGGATTTGGACAGTGAAAGTTGGCAACGGCAGCCGATCTGGCTAAGACAAAGGGTCGATCCAATGGGCCAAAAGCGATTGCGTACCGACCAAATCTGCTTCAGATTGAAAGGCCAGCAGGCTGGAGCGGGTGTCGGAGGGACGAGCAACGGCAGCCAGAGGAGAGCGACGAAGGGCAAAGATCGACAGGCGGATTGGAGCACCGACAGGTCAGCCCAAACAGGCAAGGGATGAGACGGAGCACAGAGCCCAACGGCGCAGAATCCACGGCTGCTTGCCCGAGGCCGTAGTGGGCCGCGTGGGCCATGCAGCTCAGACCAACAAACTGACAGGATCAAAATTGCCAAGAGTGAAGCATAGACGTGATGTTGGTATGAAGCCGACGAGATGTAGAGAGCAGATCGAGAAATACTCGAAGGCTGACGATCGAAGCGGTGACGGAGCAGTTTGCCGAGATTGAGGCCACAAGCACACCAGCAGACGACAGTACCAACATCACAGGACGGCGCCGGACAGCAGCTCGTTGTGGATAGAGAAGGCTCGAAGCGAGGGGACAAAAACAAAAACAAAAAATGACGATGATCCACAGAAGAGCCAGCACACTGGGATGAGAGTACAAATGACGGACCACGGGAAGGAGAGTGGGAAGCGGGAAATGGAAGCAAAAAAAGGCTAGCATCGGGAGGTTTCGATCCTCCGACCTCAGGGTTATGAGCCCCGCGCGCTTCCACTGCGCTACGATGCTGAAGTAATTGACGAGAGTGGGATTCGAACCCACGCCTCCGGAGAGATCACGGCCTTAACGTGACGCCTTAGACCAACTCGGCCATCTCGCCTTGATTTCGATCAACAATATATACAATATCATCCCAATTCTATCGATCCAGTTTCCATAGAACCATAGGCTCTGTCACTCATATAACAGCTCAGCCCTATGGCCGCTCCGAACCTGTTTTTATCAATATATTGTATTCTGTCTCTGCGGCCGTATTATATTTATCAGTTCCCCGTGGGTTTTCCGCATTTCGACACATTTTGGACTATTTGAGTGGCCCACGGGTCCCACCCCGGAAGATTTGCTGGGTCGGACTGTCCATTCAGCGAGTCCCTATTTCAGGTCGTGAAAAATATGTTTCATATTAGTTGGCAGGACTATTAGGGCCTGCTACATGATGAGTTTCTCGCTTTCTAGCTTGTAAATCTTTCCTGGTGTGTATCAGAACAATGGGCCTGACACCTTCGGTCTCGAACTTGATCCGTCAAATAATATTTCTATGGCTCCCGCTTGGGCGTTCAAGGCTTCATCCTCATCTATGCAAGCCGGTGCGTGTTATCGGCCGATTTCTACCTCGATTTTGCCGTTGTATCTCTGTTTTAGTGCAGATATGATATAAACTGTGAATATCCGAGAAAACCTCTGTCCTCGACCATACTGTTCCGATGTATAGTCTGCGTGGAATGGTTTGGTCCGAACTTGATTCAGATTCTCTCCGTTTTTGTTCTCAGCGCGAATGAGTACATCGACTGATTTCCGTGCTTGGATAATGACTGTGCATTAGGGGTCAGCATGAATGGTTTGACCGATCGGATTTGTGGATCCCGTGGTCGAATCACTGTCCTTGTCGAAGGTTATGATCATCAAAAATGCGGCGCTCCTGTACTTACATGAACAGGCCAGGCCTCACTTAACGTCACTGTAGTGGAACTTTTCAAAGTATGGTTGGTCCTTGATTGCTGCTGATGAAACAGGTAATAAATGCAATCTTCCTGTTGTTATGGGCAGTCCACAGTAGTGGTATGGTGCTTCGTGTGATGTCGCGCGGACTATGCGAGACAGCTGGCTCAGGCAGAATGTCTGTGTCCTGTGGAGCCATCCCGTTTCATTTCCGGGATGGCATCGAGGGCAAAGCCAGATCCCGTCATGAATCACGGGAACATGCGATATGTGATTGTTGGGGACTTGACCGAAGGTTTCCGATGGCCAAGCCAGCTTGGACATGCTGGGCGCTGCTCTCTTCGTCCTGACCACCATTCGTTCGGGGTTTTCTGTAACGGACGGGTACGGAGCTGGGACGGGGACGGTGCCTTGGAGCGAGAAGTATATTCAGACGGATGAAAACAGAAGACTCCTCTTGCTGGGCCTGTCCCGGGGAGGGCGGAGTGCCCTTTTATAGGCCCAGCCCAGCAAGAGGACGGGGCAGTGTCAGCCTGCCGCGCACATGTGGCGGCGTGCCGGCCGTCACATTTTCCATCGATGCAAAAATACGGTGACATCAATAATAGCGCCAAAATACTCGAGGAACCCAATTTTATGGGTTTAGGGCTGTATGAATGCAGGTCCGTTTGCTTGTCGGCGTGGTGGTCCGGAAAAGAAAAAGAATATAGACCTCCCATTAGGGGGGGGGGCGGAAACTCGGATTTGTTCCGGTGACCATGTGCCCCAAATATGCTTACTAGCAGCCTCCATAATTTTCAGGTAATGTTTACTTGGACTAAATCAATATCTGGAAGCTGGCGCGCAGCGCCCTCGATTCCGCGTTCAAATTTAATTTGATAATATAGCTTAAGCCTATTCGCGCCAAAATAACACAGAAGTACCGTAATCCTTTCGCGTTTTTAAAGCCATTAACCATGCTGGGGGGACGTTACCCTGTTGATCTGGATTATCCTGAGTGGTTCCCAATATAAAATGACAATTAAAGGATCGGGTTACGCGTGAATACCTTGAAGTTGTACTTTGAAGCTTCATGAGCCGTGCGCGGTGGAGTAATGCGCCTCGAGCATAGTCCCATCATCCTGACGAGTCCACTCAATCTCATAGCAATCTGGTACCAGAGTACCTTAAAATACCACCGATACTACAAACTGAAGATGCGTTTGAGTCTGCGATTCTCCCACGCTTGATCAGCCTGACTGGGTATTTCTTGGGTCACGGGTTGATCAAAGATCGGCTGGCAATATCTTGTCTAGCTCGAGCATCATCGCTCCGATGGGTTGATGCGACACCTGTTCATAGAAGACTATTCTGTCGAATATGGAAAACCCAAGTAACCTGAACAACAGATTGATATATAAAACATATTGAGATTGGACCGAGTGCTGAACCAGTCGACATTCAGCTCAAGCTTTGACGACTTTGGTCGAAGCCTTACTCCCAAAGCAGCCTGTCACTAGCCTAGATAACACAACAGCGCGTGGTTAAATGATTGTGTAGGGCACTGAAAAAATATAATGTAGGAGTAGTGATTGCCAGATTATAGACATAGGCCGAACGCATTAAAAACAGAGGTACGATGTGCTTGCTAGGCTGATTCTCTACGTATTCTGATTAGGAACTAATTCGATCGCGCGATCGCAATCTTGAGCCTCCACAACTTCGATATTTATCGAGTCTATCAATTTTTTGATGTCAAAAATCTAATGAATAACTGGGCAAGTCATTTCATTCACTGTCAGCTCGACTGACCGATTTTTAAGCCATATTGATAGTTCGGGAACTATTTTTTGTTTTCATGAAGGTATTGCTGCGAATATTTTCCCGGCTGCTCATCTGCCCCGGTGGAGTTCGCGGTCAGCAAACGGAATCAAAACGAAAATATGATTAGATAAAGCATCTATAAAATATCTGATGAATGATGAGATAGTCAGAATATGTCGATGTCCATATTCAAAAACATATGATTTGCTGTTCGGTTCGGAAGCGTACTTCATCGTCCAGTCGTCAAATTCTGAATAATTACAATATGGGGTGTCTGAATGAGGATTTTTATTAAACCCATCCCAGGACAGCAAAAGTATCGATAAAATTGATGCAATCGAGTAGTGGAAGAGAAAAATAGCAAAAAAGGCTAGCATCGGGAGGTTTCGATCCTCCGACCTCAGGGTTATGAGCCCCGCGCGCTTCCACTGCGCTACGATGCTGAAGCAAGTGACGAGAGTGGGATTCGAACCCACGCCTCCGGAGAGATCACGGCCTTAACGTGACGCCTTAGACCAACTCGGCCATCTCGCCTTGAGATCGTTTAAAAAAATTAAAAATATAAACTATTTGATAATACCAGATCAAGCCTCCCCCGATCACACATTTGCTTTCGCTGTCGTGCACAAGTCGTTGGGGTCTCACAAACTGTAGACCCCAGTATTTCATTCTAAGCAAATATTATAAAATGTTACAGATTATCGCAGCAAATTCCTCAGAGTGTTTTCTATGGCTTACATAGAACCGATGTTGCTGTGATGAGGCTTCTGCATCCATATTACGTAATTTATTAATAGTATATTTATTTTCATATTCCCAAAGGGCGGAAGCAAGTATGCAAGCCATCAATGTCTACGTGACACTTGAGAAATCAATTTTTCGATGGAACTAACTTCGGTAGCCACATAGAGAGCTTACAGGCATCTCCACAGGAAGGTTTCTGGCTCACGCCAGATTCAGCTGAGTTATTCTGAACAAAGAATTGAACTTGGTTCCCAGAGCTTTCGCTACTGGGTGGGTGTGGCTTAATCCCTATTACGTGTGTGTGTATAGAAGTTTTTATGCGGATAAAAAGAATCTCTCGCATAATAAAAAATATACCAACAGAAAGTACATACATAGAGCACACATTGTTTCTGTATTCCTCCTGTACATACTATTCTCAGCATCAGGACAAGAACAGGCGTTCCCATCAAAAAGGCAATGACTATGCGCCTCTACGAAAAGGAAGGAAATCAAGCAAGGTAATGTCGATCGCAGGCACCTACAAATGGGATGGAGACCCTGTCCTGACCGCGCGGATGCCAGTGATATCAGCCGCTCAAGCCCGAAGAATGTTCCTCTGGCGGGTCAGAGGTTTCCCTCCCAAACCTGGTGGAGCGCGCATAAAGCCTGGACCCAATAGTCCCAAAGTCCCCGTGAACAGGAAACATGCGTCGGAATGTGTCCGAGCCAAGAACCGTCTCGAGCAGTATGTACACCCTGCGAGGATCTCCGAAGGCGTCACTTACATCGGGCTTGCAACCGGCGCACTCCCCAAACTGGCTCAAGTGCCCGCAAGACCAGTCACCATCGACCAGGAAAACTGAGCAAATGGTGTGCCAGTCGCGAACGAATCCTCAACAACAGACCAGCGATCTGGCTGAATGTCGTGGCGGTGTTGGGTGACATCGCAGCTCAGTGTCTGTTGTGGACGCCAATCATTCGTATGCGCCAATCGGTCGTATGAGCCATGCACGACAATAGGGGCCTGAGGAAACAGTTTCACAGGCATATGTCAGCACATGTCAGCACATGGAGGTCGGAGCTGCAGATTCCAAACTGTCACTGGATGGATGAGTTAGGCAAAGCTTGACATCGCCGCCCCTCCGCAAACAGCTCCCCAAGAGACAGGGAGCTGCAGTGGTGGTTGTAAAATGTCCTGGTTAGTAAGACCAACACCCAGTGCCAGAGCCCGCCAGGGACGCTAAGGCAAGTCTTAATAAAGACCCACCCATTGACTATTCTCAGCATCAGATTCCGAATCTAATTTCTCAAGCAGGGTCGAAATGTAGTAATGCCAAAAGTAGTTTAAACGTCCTCGCCAAGCGTTAATTGGCTAGTTAATTTGAAAAGTAAAATAAAAGATACAAGCTGACCATGAAAGAGGAACTCGATTGGTGTGGAGAAATGCGGGTAAATTGTAATAATTTTGGGCAATGTGTGGAAAGTCGCTGTTTCACTATCCAGCCTGGTGAGTTATATTACATAAGCTTCCCGATAAGCCTCTCTCTTCACCATTCTTTCAAACCCAAGTAGTTTGCCTAAATCAAGGAGTAGTACTACCTTAAGTAGATATTTGATCGAAGCCTTGGGTATTTATGCATTAGTAAAAAGCAGTCATAAATCGATACTTTGTCAGTATCGGTATAGAAGCAGTTCAGAAAATTAAAATTAAAATTAAGCGCAATATTCCACCATAAGAAGCCAAAGTGCAGTTTGTGAGCTCTGAGTCAGGAGTGTTTGAAGGTCGGTTTTAACATTGATATGTGCCCTTTTTGCGTGTCAATATTTATTCATACACTTCTGATTTTGTGTAAAATCGTATTTACATGTGTATTGTGTTGTATTGCATTTATTTATGTACTGAACATACTGCAGCTTTACAGATCTCAATATGATATGCAGTATACTGATAACCATAGGACGCCGAATGTTCGAGGCTTATATAAATTGGTAATTACTGAAGATCATAAGCCGATCCCCGCTTGAATGATCATCGTCGCAGCTACGCAGATCAGTTTTAAATGGTGGTATCCCACCAAAAATTAGTTCACCCACAATGTGTCTTGTGCAAGGACTCGGACTGCGACTGAGTGGTATTCCATTGACCTTGGCGGAAATATCTTTTTGATAAATCGATACGAAAGCTAGAAACTGGACACGGAAGAGTGTAATAATATATTTGATTTGCGACTGTATGTGTTACAACCCTAAGCCACACCTGCCTGGAACCCAGGCCATGTGTTCTCCTTGCTTGCCTCTCCTATATAGCCTTCGACCCTCCGAGCCCCTTGTCTCCCCTGTCCTTCGTTATCTTGTTGTTCTCGCCAATATACGTATCTTCACGGTGACTACAGGCCTTAGGTTACCCCTCCCCTCCGCCAGAGTCCACGTAACAGTATGGGGATATTGTTCTGAGTAGACGATGTTTCAAATGGGATAGAATGTGTCCGATAAATTTTGGTGAATGAAAATCGACTTGAACAGAGGGTATATTACCAATTGCGTCGAAATCGTCATTGGGAACAACAGAGTGTTTATTAATAACGCAAGAGGCGACGAGGTGATGGGTGATCTTTGTTGCCAGTCCTAACTGGTGCAAACGGCAGGAAGACAGATATCAAAAGCTGAGCCTGGATGGGGTCGTGAGGCATACAGGCGCTCGAGATGAGGCAGGTATATGACGACTACAGGCGAGTCTTCCCTCAAATACCCGTGAACAGGAAACATGCGTCGGAATATGTCCGAGCCGACGACCGTCTTGACAAGTACGTACACCCCACGACGATTCGCGAAGGCATCACGTACATCGGGCTTGCAACCGGCACACCCCCCAAGCTGGCTCGAGTGCCCGCAAGACCAGTCACCATCGACCAGGAAAACTGAGCAAATGGTGTGCCAGTCGCGAACGAATCCTCAACAACAGACCAGCGATCTGGCTGAATGTCGTGGCGGTGTTGGGTGACATCGCAGCTCAGTGTCTGTTGTGGACGCCAATCATTCGTATGCGCCAATCGGTCGTATGAGCCATGCACGACAATAGGGGCCTGAGGAAACAGTTTCACAGGCATATGTCAGCACATGTCAGCACATGGAAGTTAGAGTTGCAGATTCCAAACTCTCACTGGACGGATGAGTTAGGCAAAGCTTGACATCGCCGCCCCTCCGCAAACAGCTCCCCAAGAGACAGGGAGCTGCAGTGATGATTATAAACTGTCCTGGTTAGTAAGGCCAGTGCCAGTGCCAGTGCCTGGAAAGGCATTTGGATCGACACTTATTATATATTGATTGGGCTGAATTGTTTGGGATGTTGCGGATACGCTTCAGCATATACGGAAGCTCAAAGGATTTGAACTTGGGGGGGGGTGCTGTCCAAAGAAACACAGGGTGAAAAATGAAAGATGAAAGTGTGATGCACGAGAGCTTGAAAATAGAAAGTCACGCGCGGTGAGCACTGGGGTGATGGTGGCGGTCTTCTGTAGATTTTATAATGTTTATATATTTATTTTACTGTAATAGCAAACAAGGCGAGATGGCCGAGTTGGTCTAAGGCGTCACGTTAAGGCCGTGATCTCTCCGGAGGCGTGGGTTCGAATCCCACTCTCGTCAATTACTTCAGCATCGTAGCGCAGTGGAAGCGCGCGGGGCTCATAACCCTGAGGTCGGAGGATCGAAACCTCCCGATGCTAGCCTTTTTTGCTTCCATTTCCCGCTTCCCACTCTCCTTCCCGTGGTCCGTCATTTGTACTCTCATCCCAGTGTGCTAGCTCTTCTGTGGATCATGTCCCTCGCTTCGAGCCTTCTCTTTATCCGCAACGAGCTGCTGTCCGGCGCCGTCCTGTGTTGTTGATACTGTTGCCAGGCGGTGTATTGGTCCGTTTGGTTGACTGGAGAATATGGACAATAGCGAAGCCTCGTCCCAGCAATATTGGATTAATAATACCACACTATATCATATATCACTATCAATTCTTCAATAATATAGATTGGATGCAAAAAGGATTGTCGTTACAACTTTTCGAACCTTTCTTTCGAGGTTTGTTGGGTAATTTGCAGCATGATCTGTTCGACTCGAGCCGGGGGGACTGGGAGGACTGGAAACCCATGGTTAGGTTTATAAGCCATATAAAATAAAAGCGAAGAAAAAAAAAAATAATATAATAATAATAATATAATAATAA